CTTGACCGTAGACAAGATAACACTCTTTAGCATGGGTTTCAAGAACATTGTACAAGCTGCAGCGACTGACAATGCGGCGAAGCACAACAATTCAGCGGTCATGGAATACTTGCGCCGCATTGTACCACGCATGTTTCAGAATACACTCTCGTTGCTCTCGCGCCAGATGATACAACAGTTCCTTGATGAGCTGGTATGGCGCGAATCCTTTGGTACGTATGCGCTGCAAGCGTTCAACAATATCATCATACATATTGCCGAGCAGACACGCGTGACTACCAATGAGACCATTACACAACGCCTCTATCAGGTGGGTATCCGTTAATTAAGCTTAAATAAGTATTCAATTTTATTAATGTAAATCGTTTTTGCAGGTCGCAACTAATCCGTTTAAGGACTGGAGCGTGCTGCCTCCCAATTACAAGGAGACACCGGCTAATGCTACGCCTAAACGCCTCAAGAAACGTTAGTAAATCATCGCTAGTTAGTATGTAGGCCGTGCTTAGTCTTAATAGTCTAATTTAGTCATAGGGCGGCTGTAGCTGCGAAAAATGCCAAACCCGAATTATATTGTAATGCCTTTGCGTTTTGTCACTCCAAAGCGAATGTAATTTTCAATGTCCACTATGCCCTTCATTAATTTAAATGTTTCAAGATTTTCAATCTATTGACATCGAATGTTCATGAAAGCTTCTTTTATTTTTTTTACTATGTGCATGTAAATTGAATTATATTCGTGATATTTTTAAATGAGTCAGCATTTAAAATCTGATTTACATATAATTTTACTTTTGGCATTCTTAAAATGTGTTAACTTGTTCTAAAAACAACAACAGATGAAATAAAACAAAAAACTAAAAATGAAACTGTATAAAAACTATGTAAAACTGGTACTTTTTATTTGCATTGATTATGATTTTTGGAGTGATATAACGTTTAAAGGCATAAACTTGATATTAACATGCAACTGTGATGCTGATGTTTTCTTCTGAAAACATTTCCCAGCAAATAGAATAGTCCTTGAATCTTAAACCTTAATCAGCATGCAATGCAAACCTTCGTTCTATTTGGATATTTTTAACAAAATCGACAATATCTTCTCGTTTTGTAGCTATTAACGATTCAGACTATGTTCATGCTAGTAAGGAATTTTCTGGCAAAGTAAAAAAAGAAAAGGAACGTGAAAAGGAAAAGGATGTTTTACCCGCGGGAACCAAACGTCGTGGCACAGTCAGCACGCCGCCGCCGGTCGCAGTCCCCAAAGGAGTTGGCAGGCCACCTGGCTCTAAGTTGACTGTAAAATCAGGACCGTCTAAGACAAGCACGTCCGTGACACCGATGACTAAGACTCCGATCAAAAAGCCGAAAGAGGCAAAGGAGGAGAAAGAGAAGGTGGCCGTGGTTATTAAAAAAGAAGAAGACGAGCTCAAGGGCCTTGAGGAGCTCTACTATGGAATTAGCGATGGTACTGAAGAGTTTTATGAGCATTTTCCCTACAGCTCGCCTCGAGCCAATCCAGCGGAGCTTACCAGAACAGTAGAGTGCCCAATTTGCTTGAACGGCGAAACCTACGACTCCAATGAAAAGCTACAAACGCACTTGGTATCGCATATTTCACCTGAGGGCAAACAACATCAATTCCAATGCCTGTTCTGCTTGGAAAAGCATGCAACCGAATCAGTTCTGGCCAAGCACAACCAAATCATGCATCCCACCGAAACCAAGACAGATGGCTCTCCATCGTATCATTGTTTGATTTGTCAGCAGCGCCATAATTCTCTGCACTTGCTTACCGCTCATCTGCAGAAAGTGCACAGCACACTGGAACTACCGTACTGGTGTCAATCTTGCGGATATCGCTCGACCTCGCATCGCGACCTGGTCCGTCATTTTTATGACGATCACAAGAATCAAAACTTTCTACAGTGCCCCTATTGCCTCGATGTAAGTGTAATTGTTATATCCTGTTGATTCAACTTATGCTCTTTTGCTGCTTTTGGTAGATCTTTTACTTTACCCACAAGGGCAAGGTCAATCAGCTGCGTGTTGAGCACTATTTTATGCATCTTGACGAGCACGTGAACAAGCGGGATCCAACATTGCGTTGTCAAAAGTGTTCTCTGAGCTTCTTGGAGAAGGGCGACTTAAAGCAGCACTCGGTTCTCCATCATGTCAGCATGACCAAGACGAATAAACCAGTGCGTCTGCTGTTAAACAACTCCCTTTTGATTCCGCCTCCCAAGGTGCGCACCCATCATCGCGAACAGCCGCCATTTTCGACCTATAAACGGCCCGTTTTCTTTGCCTTCCTGGAAGGCAAGACCTGCGCCGAGTGCAATACAGATTTCGCCAGTGAGGAGACGCACTACACGTAAGAGCGAGCAACTGCACGAAAATAGTTGATGTGAAGCTAAGCATACTTTCTTAATCTTTCACAGAGGTTGGCTGCACTGTGTTAAATGCAATTACCAGACATGTTGCGAACGCGCCCAGTTTCGTCACGGCGTCGACTGTAATGGAAACTTTGTGGATGCCATGGAAGTAAATATGTTGCAGGAAATGCACTGCATCTGCGGCTTTGCCACCAGCAATGGCAACAAAATGGCTCAGCACTTGGCTAACTGTGGCCTTAGCACCTGCTACCCCAGCCTCGAGGCGGCCAATGAGAATGCCGTCAAGCGTAATATGTTGGATATGCTGGGGCTAGTTCGTCGTGATGGTGAAACATCAGGAGAAGGCGCAGAAATGGGCGATGCAGTGGATGACGCCATGGACGACAATAGTGAGCTATTACCGGCGGCGGAAGATGACCAGCAGCAACAAGATGATCAGCAGGCACAAATGCATCATCATCCGGAGCCGCCACAGGTCCCGCAAGTTAATATGCAAACGGATGTACAGCAGCAACAGAGTTATATTGCGCCACAGCCCGGGCCTCAGCCGATACCCCATTTAGCCGAGCAGCAGGCGACGCCAATACAATTTGGGGAAATGGAGGCAGCGCCTGTTATGTTAGATCCTCAAGTTCAGGCTGCCGCCGACTATGCCCAGGTGTCTGTCGTGCAACAGCAGCAGCAGCACCAACAACATCAGCCATATGGGATGGCCGGATATGGCCAGAGCGCGCTCTCAACGGACATTGACATGCCGCTGATTGGTGAGCTGGCCGAACCAAATGCGCCGCCAACACCCCAGTTTCTCGGTGAGGTGCACACGCCAATGTTCGATGCAGTGGCCGCTGCCGAGCAGCAACACTATCACGCCCAGCAGCAACAGCAGCATCATCATCATCACCATCCCCAATGATACAAAGCTATGGGAAAGCTAAAACCACGCGATTACACGCTGCCTTGGCAGAACTACTAGAAATAACTTCACCGATTTTCAAACGCATTCATGTATATCATGAGTATTAATTGTATTAAATTACATATACTACAATTTTGTAGATGAGCATCGAAATATTGCACAGTAAATATTATTGAAAATTTATAAAACATTATTAAACATACAACTGTAATTGTCCACTTGCAATACACATAAAACATAAAATAAAAATATAATGGTAGCCACAGTTTGCGTCTATTAATGCAAACAATTATTGTATTAATTTCTAAAGACCGTTTACAGAAGAATTGTAGTTCTCTTTGTTTAGACACCCCATAACAAATTGTAACTTCTTATCAAGGCCTAAATTTCGAAAATCTACAATTTACATACTGATAAGCTAAGCAAATTATAATGAATATTTGTTGCAAAACCTCAAGAGACTCGCCCTGTGACTAAACCAACTGTACATAAACTCCTGACATCTGTCGAATACTTTTGTTACTGAGAGATTTTTAGAATATTGGAACTGTGTGATTGTGGCAACTGTGGTTCTTGGTCATTTTTGTTGTTGTCGCTGCTTGGATTTTAGCAGAGCTGACAGTACAAGCGCTGTGTCCAGCTCCTGCTGTGTGCCCGGTTCGTTGTCCAGTGAGATTTCAGCAGCACGCTCATGGAAACGCGCCAAAACACGTGCGCGATAGTCTGAAAAAGGAGACAATTAAAGGCCTCATATAAAGGCTTCTATCTGAGTGCACACTTACCGACACTGCCTGCCAGAGGATTACCAGTGAGTCTGAGCGTCTCTAGGAGTGGCAGATTGGCAACAAAATCAACTTCATCTAGCTGTTCGATAAGATTGCAGCTTAAATCCAAATTGACCAGGGAGAGCAGCTTACGCAGTCCGCTTAACGCCTTGATCTTGTTCTGTGCCAGATTCAAGGTCACAAGGTTACCCATGCTCAGGTGCCAGTCTACACACTCAGCTATTAAATTGCCCGACAGTGATAGTAGCTGCAGGTGGGGCAGCTCTGCCAGATTCTGTACGGTGCGAATGCGATTCTGTTCCAGGACAAGGTGACGCAGCTTGGGTGCAGTTCGTACGCTGCCATCAATTTGGGTGAGCAGATTGCCCGTCAGATCCAGTTCGCTCAGCTCGCTCCACGCATCTGTGCAGAGCACCGTATCGTCGCCATTGGCTGTTGCTTCCGGCAGAAGGCTGGGCACATTGCAGTCCTTGTGTACATTGTCGCAAAGCAGGACCTGATTGATGTGCGTAATCGTGGTATTATGCACACAAATTGTTTGCAGCGTCGGCTTCAAGAGCCCTATATCGACAATATTCTCTGTAGAGAGCGCTGAAAACTTGAGAGTTTTAAGATTTCGGAATGCATTCAAGTTGAAGCTCAAGCGATTTGGAATGATATTGCTGCGTCCAATCGGCACATCTACCGTGTTGTAATCCTGAGCAAAGCTGGCATTATCTTTAACAGGCGTCACTACCAGGGCTGCGAGCTGTGTGCTAAAGTCCAGCACATGCGAAAAGTCAAATTTTGCCCCTTCCTCACTGCTGGGCGGACAGGGTAGAGCTAGACGCTCACTGATGGCATATACCTGAAAATTAAAGCAACATTTATGATTGTAAATTTAATTTGACTAACAAAAATAATTGATTTTCTTTAAATTAATGACTTTCTTTTAATTCTCTTTATGTAGTTAAATTGTCAGATATATTCGCAGGTTGTAGCTCACGCTCATCGTACTTCAGGTAGATCAATAGCAGCCTATAGAGCAATACTACTCCCAGGAGCCTACGCTGCTCCGTTGTAAATTTGCTGCGGGCCACACCAAAGTAGACACCTACGCGTCTATTTGTCAAATGATTCAGGCCCAAGGCGTCGATCATTGCTGCCTCACGCGTGTGCGCATCATTTGATGAGATACCTTTAAAGGCGCGCAGCAGTAGGACACCTCGTTGATGCTTCCAAAGGTGCACAATAAGTGCCAGCTTCGGATCTTTGGCCAGCACAAGCGGATTGGCCGATCGTAGTACCTTGTGGGCTTGCCGCAAGTGCACGTATGGACGTGTAGACTTTCCCTTGCCCACATAAAAAATAGCGCGCAAGAAAGTGAGCCATACGTCGAGTTGGTGCATGCTCTTAGCACGATTCTTCAGTCCATTAGTAATGCGCGGGTCTAGCAGCAAGTAATTAAAAAAGAGACGCTTGCTCTGATCGTGGTGCCAGTGCCATTTACTATGTTGCTTGACAAGATTAGAATGCTTTTCAATGCTCGCAAAGTTACGCTCCGACTGGAGCGTATGCTGCAGCTCAGCAGAGAAGTTGGTCGAGGGCATGTGTATGACTCCTAAGGAGTACTTGATGCCTCGACTTTGAGACAACTGGTATAGCAATGGACGGCCGATGACCGTAGTCAGCACGACAACCAACAATTTAGACATGGTTCGCGGTAGCAAGGCCAAATACGCGTTTAAATGTGTGTATAAATAAATAAAAAATAAACTATACAATTGAATTTCTAACATTAAATATTAAATAAAATTCTCCGACAAAACTGAGTTTTTGTCATGGAACTTACCTCCAGTGCCGATAAGCTGTACTCCTTCTTGGCACTCAGTAATGCATCGCCGCTTTCGTGAAACAGCTTTGCAAGATCTTGCAACAGATATATAATGTCATACTTGTTGAAATCTAAGAATTCGGCAAGCAAACGTGGCAGCTCATTTCGAAAATAGATGAGCAGCTCTTGCAAATACGTTTCCAATTGTTCGCGACGCTGCTCTAAAAATGCGGGCTGTTTGTTGCCAACAAGCTGCAACATACAAAATATATTAGTTAAACTCTAAAGTTATTGTCGCTCTATTCCAGTGGGCGTACCTTCTTTGGTGGCAACAGCTTTTTGCTGATCGATACCTCCTCTACAAGCTTATCGTGGAGCTGAGCAAAATCGCGATAGCGTCGCTCTACAAACCATTCCACGGTTCCAATGCGAACCTTTTTTACGAACAGTTATAATTGTATAGTATGTGAAACTTGTTTCCATAAGTATAATTAATACCTTGATGTCATAATAAGTGATCCCTGCTGAGCTTTCCACAACATATTTTGGAATTGTCACCGTTGTGTTTTCATGTTGACGATAATAACACGACATTGTTACCTGTGTGTTTTTGCACTTGACAAGTAATTTTTTCTTTAGCGCTCAACTAAATGATTAACATAATTGTGACATTTGATTAAATTGAGCTCTAAAAATAACAGCTTTTACTGAATCTAAATCTATTGATGTTTTTGTTGTACAGCTGATTTGTGCGGTTATTAGAGATGGAAAAATGTCACAGGTTGGGAAAAATAACTGTGCAAAAAGCTAATCGTACAAAGCGTAAGCAAGTGGATATGTATAAATAAGTTGATTTGCTGTTCTCTTTCAAGCTTTTCTTATTATTTCATAATTTGTATTCGTTAAATTGGCCAAATCAAACATATTTTTAATAGTGGCTATTTGTTGTGTATTTTAGCCCGGGAGAGCGTGGCATCGTTGATAGTTATCGATAAGTGATTGACCGTTTAGCGTGCATTCTGGCAACGCTGCTGTGGCCATATCGGCGTTTTTGTTTATATTGTTTGTTGGCAATTTCCATTCAACGAACGCTGACGAACAGGACATAAACGATCTTCAACTAAGCAATGTCACTGCCCACGGAATTAAGCATAGCAACATTGACAACCAAAGTATAAAATATAGTGACTGCTTAAAATGGCGTTTCTGGCCGACTGTGTTATCGTGTTCGTCTCGCAGGCAAGCGGCTCAGCTTATAATAAATTGACTATTATTTCAAATTGGTATTTTCTTTGTTATAGATGCTCTTCTTTGCCGGCGGCTGGCTATTCTTTAATAAGCAACTATTCAAGCACTATGAGATTCGTCACATATCCGTGCAGTTGATTTTCTCCTCAACATTTGCGCTGTCCATAACAATGTTTGAGCTCATTATATTTGAGATTATTGGCGTACTGGAATCAAGTTCTCGATATTTCCATTGGCGTCTGGGTCTGACGCTTCTGCTGTTCATGGTTACTGCCGTGATACCTGTATACATTTGTTACTCTGTGATACACAGCATTTCCTTCTGTACGTCAAAGATTTACTCACATTAAGGCTCTTAAACATTTATTTACTTTCTTACTGCAGTTTCCGACAGATGGGTGCGCATTTTGACAACTCTCTGTTGGTTCGTCTTCCTCTACGGCCTTTGGCGCATTGGTGAACCCTTTCCGCTGCTCAGCGCCTCACATGGCATTTTCACCATCGAACAGGGAGTGTCACGTATTAGCGTTATTGGTGTGACTGTCATGGCCATACTCTCCGGCTTTGGTGCTGTCAACTATCCATACACCAGCATGACCTATTTTATCAAGTAGTCACCATCGCCCGTACACAGCTGTGTTCTTATCAGCGCTAATGTATATGTATTAATTGCAGGCCCGTTTCACGCAATGACATCATATGCTTCGAGCGACGTTTGGCTCTCACTGTCGATATGTTGACGGCCAAGAAACGCCGTATTGCCATGGCCGTCTACAATCACAATAAACAGCATCCCACAAAGCCAAGAATTTGGGATATGCTGACGTCAGCAGTGCATCGCACAACTAGCTCTGGAGAGGGTATAAAAAAAAACCATTGCTTTATATTGCGCTATTAACAAAGTGTTATTTTTTGTAGACATTAATCAGCTTAAGCAGGAAGTATACGGGCTGGAAGAGCTACAACGATCCGTCTTTCTCGAGCTGAACTCACTAAAAAACATGGAGGAGCGTCAACGTTGGTCGCAAACACTGCAAGGAAAATACTTTAATGTTTTGGGACATTTCTTCAGTGTCTATTGCGTCTATAAAATATTTATGGTTTGTAATCTGTTGTAGGAAAACTGTTTGCAATATCTGAATTCTCTTCTCATTTGCAGTGCTGTATAAACATAATATTCGATCGCGTTGGCCGCAAGGATCCAGTGACGCGCGGCTTAGAAATCGCCGTGCACTGGTGTGGCTTTGATATAGACTTGGCATTCTGGAATCAACACGTTTCCTTTCTTCTGGTTGGTTGTATTGTGGTTACATCCATACGAGGTCTGTTGCTAACACTAACAAAGGTAGGCATCGTATCGTATAGTAAATTCAAGAAATTTGTTAAATGTGTGTTTCTTGCAGTTCTTCTATCGCATTTCATCCAGCAAGTCAAGCAACATAATTGTGCTGATTTTGGGTCAAATTATGGGCATGTATTTTTGCTCCTCAGTTCTGCTGATGCGCATGAATATGCCAGCTGAGTATCGTGTGATTATCACTGAAGTGCTTGGCAATTTGCACTTCAACTTCTATCATCGTTGGTTCGATGTCATCTTTCTGGTCAGCGCCCTGACCACCATAATTGTATTGTATTTGTCCCGCAAACCTGTTCGCGTTGACGATACTGATTTGCACTAAACCAAAAGTGGGGAGATCATGACAAGGTATGATTAGCTAGGCACAATTGATTGAGAATCAGTTAAGTACCCTATTTAATGCAAGCTTTAAGTTATAAAGTTACATACATATATATAAATCCAAGTATACGCCAGTGTGTATACTAAGTATCTTAAGAATACATAGCGCAAAAATCAAAGTTATATCAACTTAAGTAAATTGAAGCAACGAACTGTTTTAATATATAAAATAATTATATTGTATTTAAGGTTATGTTCCAAGATAAAAGCTTCCAAACAGCATACCCACTATTTTCAAAGCGCATGCGCCTAAAGCATGCCGCCAAAAGCTAATAATGAGGCAGGACAAAAGCTCAAAATGGTTTGGGTTGTCATGTTACAAGTGTCCTGTTTGGGCTCAAGGTTGGCTCAAAGTTGAGTTTCTTTCAGCCATTTTATCTCAAATGTTCCATATCCAATGTTTCATGTTATTTTCATAGATTTAAAATAGCTATGTTATTGTTTGAGGTAAGCTGTTTAGAAATATTGGGTAACTTGGTGAATCCGTAGGAATAAGGTAGTTTGGTATAAAGAGCTAGGGAAATTCCAGATTACCTTTTTGTACTTACAAAACTTTTTTAACAGAAATATTTTAATATGGACATTTTTTTTCAAAAATTACTTTGGTTTGTAATAAAAATTGCATAGTTTTTGAGATTAGAGATTCTGTTAGGAAATCCTCCCAAACTCGGAATTATATCACGTAGTGATTCAACTTCTTGGCTAACTCTTGAAATCGTTTGAAAGGACAGTTGCAGTTGCATTGAGAAGTGAAGCTCAATTAAGGCTGTTGCGAATTTTAGAAATGCACAATGCGAGCCAATCCACTTTACCGACGGGCTATTGGGCCAATTGAAGATAAACCGTCATGAAGCATTTAAGTGCTAGAGTGAATAAAAAATGTAACAAAAATGATTGAAGGGTGTCCAAAATGCCACAGTTTTAGCTGCAGTCCCCTACAAATGTTGGGCACAAGCGCAGCCCGCTGGCAACTAACACGATTTAATCAGCTGTAAATTCGATTAGCTGTTTACAAAACATGAGACAAAAACCAGCACACGTAGAAGAAAAGCCAGAGATGTGCACCCTAGAGAAGTTTATGTCTTAAGTCATCTATAAAGTACGAGAGTGAATATGTCAAAATTTACATGTGATTATCATATTTTAGTGGTAAATTTTCTAAATTTTCATCTATAAAGTACGAGAATGAAATGTCAAAATTTACATATGATTATCATATTTTAGTAGCTCATTTTCTAAGAGGATAAGCCTTATTGTTACTCAAAAATACAGCGATATATCGTTTCAGTTGCCGTCACGCTCCCACTCTAGACGGTGCGGCGCAGTCATGCAACGTTTTGTGGCATGTATCGCAGATGGTTTACCTTATCGATTTCATCGATTAGTGATTGATAATGTGTTTGGCCTGCTTTTAGGCTGCTATTGTTGTTGTTCTTGCAGCTAACCTCATAGGCCATTATGCAAATTTGTTATCCAATTGATTTGAATTTCATTTACGTTGCGTATACGCGCCATATGCTGTGCCATAATTAATTCCTTGTGCCCCAGCCGGCTAATTAGCATAAACTTAATTAATTTCCTTGTTGGGCCTTGGGACTTTGTCGCTCAGCTGATTGACAATTGCAAGTTCATGCCACAATTCAGGCTGACGCGGCGGCAACTAAGCCACAAATCGTAGTCAATTGCAAAGTGCCTCCTTCCGCCCTCCCCTATGAGTTCGCCTTGACACTCAGAGATCTTGGCACGGGCACATTGCTGGCGTATTTAGCATATTTTCTGTGTCGCATTCGACCTTTGTTGTGCATTCATGGAGCACACATGTGCGCGTCAGATTCGCACCTGACTTAAGGCCATGGCAGCAAGAACACCACCAAAAACAAAATCACCAGCAACCGTCAATCGTGTGCTGTTCCTGTCATTGTCACCGTTGGCTCCGGGACATGGCAACGATATTAGCATAAGAGAAACCCGCTACGATTCACGGAGATATTGTGACACTCCTTGAGCCAATTATGCGGTACATTTCCCCGAATCCTATGTGACATAGATGAATTGGATATGGCGCAGATATGTAAGACACGGTAGAAAGGAGTAGCATATTAAAGATAAAAAAAATACTTTAAGAAGCATGTGAAAACTATATGTAACTAAAATGTTTTTAAATGAAGCTGTCAAAATGAATGGGCTGTTTTTGGCACACCGAAGTCTAAATAAGCTTGAAGGCCAAATGCTTAGAACTGCTTTTACACAAGTGCTTTGTTCTTACGCAATTGTTAAGGGGCTGAGAATATTTTATACAATATATGATATCGAGCCACTTTTATTTTGAGTCGTCACTTTTCGTATAAAAGTTTACATTCCCTCAAAAAGGGTGTTGGTCATATGTTACAATTGTACATTATTTGCAGTATTAATATATTTTTAAATTTAACAGGCTGTTGATATCAGTTTCATTAACATATTATGTTAAACTTATGCTAACGATCTTAAGCATATGCAATTTGAAACACACACATGTACGCAGTGTCGCTCTTTTCGAATTCTGTTAATGCCAAGACCTAGAATCTTACGTTATGTTAATGAAACAATTATGTACGCAATATCAGAGATTAAAAAAACGCTTTAGATCCAAGAAAGGGTATAAGACCTTTACTCACCAGCAAAACTCTACGTTAAACAATAAATAAGTAATCTTAAATATGGGAATTTCAAAGTTTAACAAATTATTTTGTAATCTTATCTTACCTGTCCTAATTAAAATATTAAATAGCTCAGTACTCTGTTAAATTTCCTTTAATCTTATATGTTTTAAACACAAGACTTCTGATCAGCTAATGGATGTCGTTTGGCATTCCAGAATTAACCACTTTCCTAGCTGCTCTAATGAACACCGTTTGCTATCCATTAACCTTTAGCTTGCATTTTAGCCTCATTATAGTAAACCTCATCGATTGGTATGTACGATCCGTTTCTAATTAAGTTCTTTCTGCTCCCCTGGGCAGCAGCAGGTGCGCACGTCTCATTAGCGTGGACTGCACATAATTACCGCCACAGAGGCCAAATTCAACGCAAATGCAACATCTGAGCAATCAGAGCATTTGAAATTATGACATTGATTACGAGATGAAAGCCATAAATGCCCCATAGCCGTAGGAACAGTACAAATAAATATAGATTCCCAGTTCGTGGTCAATACACAAAGGAAATAAAAACGCCTAAAAGCGCGCTTCATTAGGCTCGATGTGTTGGCGATAAGGGGAGAGAAAAATAATGACCCGTAGAGTTCCAATCAGGTAAAAATAATATAAGCCGACATTTGTTGTCGTTCAGTCTTTAATTTAACATGGGCCAACGCTATCACAGACTATTATTCTTGATCAAATTGAATCAGTATGAATGCTGACGCAGCGTGACGGTACAAACTTCAGCATAACAAATATATCTTTATAAATATATCTGTTATATATCTGTGTATATGGACATGTGCATTTTCTATGTAGATTGCCAATCAAATTATTTGAAATATAAAATATTTACATGCGCTGCAGCCACTCTGGGCAGTCGTTTTTGGCTACTACAGGGTGTTTCGTTAAATGAAGGGCCACTTTGCGTGATTGTTGCTCAAGTGACCATCCTGTATGACCCTGTCTCTGCTCGTGTACGTAGAGATTTTACCTTTTTCGTAGCTTCCACTTAAATATATGAGCATCCATATACAATTCTTTGCATGTGCGGAGCATGTGCAGCTTCCCAGCTGGACCCAGCTGTACCGAATCATTGTTGTTAATAATGCTCATGATGAGCCTGCTGCTGTTGGGTAGGCGTTGCCTGTTGTCCGTGTATTGATGAGAACTCAATAATTCAATGTAGCTGCTTGGGCAGTCATTAAAGGCAGTGGGCAAAGGGAATGTTTGACTGGTAGAAAAACGGCTCGAGTGGGATGCTCGGATATGCGAATAACTACATCGAAAGGTCCCTTATAATATGGTTATGCATGCTTTTAGGCGCACAAGGCCATGCCCCTAGCGAGTGCCAGTGTGGCCAGTTAAAATGCTGCGTCTCGTATGCTCTGCTATTAAATTTATCGCTGCACAGCAACAGCCGTATTGCGACACGCCCACAAAAGACCAACTGCAGTTGTTTATTATGCATGCATGTGGTGCCACCCACACACACACACACACACACACACACACACAGAGACCACAGTGCACAGCATCCTCACTTTTAAACTGTGCCAAGATTATTGCTCTATTTTGCGCTTCAATGATTTTGTGCGCCCCTTCACAGCTTGGCAAAGTCTAATACATTTGAATCGATGTGAAGGTATGTGTGTGTGTGTGTGTGTGTGTGTGTGTGTGAGTGTGAAAAAGCGTCATAAAAGTGTCATAAATGTTGATAAGACATGTTTGTCAGGCGCCTTTCCAGCACCTGCTCACCTGATTGTTCAAAGACTTGCGGGCGTAGGGAGTCTGCTGTCGTTTGCCAATTTGCTTGGGCTGATGATAAATGCATAGCCCGGCATTATACAGATTGTTTTATTAGCTAAAAGCGAAAGCTTGTATAAAATAGTATGCTAGCTAGCTAAGTGCGCATAAAATTGTGTTGATTTGTGATTTACTCAACCATTGGTAAGCCTATTACAGTCAGCCGTATTTCTTAGCTCTAATCGAGCATGACTTGGTAGCTAAGCAATAGTGTTTACTACAGCGAAAGATAATTTAAGTAAATAATAATAACAACAATAATAAGTAAGAGGTTCTAATCGGGAGATCCCGACTAGGGGATACCCTGAACCCTCTTCTTCCAACATCAAATGCATATATATATATTCTATTTTAGAAGCTACTTATATGTCAAGTTTGGGAACTCTAGCTCTTATTATTTACCAAAATTGCCCAAAAAAATTGCCCCAACAGCTTGGAAACGGAGTAAGTTATCGATTATCGGAAACAAACTCGATCTGCGTGGGATCTAGGAGCATCTACATCTAAAATTTCAAGTCTCTAGCTCTTATAGGTTCTGAGATCATTGGGTTTATACATACGGACGGACGGACGGACAGACAGACGGACATGGCTAGATCGACTCGGCTATTGATGCTGATCAAGAATATATATACTTTATGGGGTCGGAGATGCTTCCCTCTGCCTGTTACATACATTTGGATTTTGCACAAATTAAATATACCCTTATACCCATGCAAAATGCAAAAGCGCTTCGTTACCTTTGTTAAAGCCGCTAACAGCTACTGTCTGAGCTCATTTATATCAAATTGTGACAGCCATTTGCAGCAGGGCCAACACGCATGATTGCACCGGTCAGTGGCCATTTGTTAACAGCAGAAGGCCGCATCTGCCGCTGCCATTGATGGCCTCAATCAAAGCTCTCATATGCAGTGATGTGGCCTGTCAACGCCACGCAATGGACAAGCCAGATGAACCCCCTCGCCGGACTTCCGCTACATTGTGTCCACCTCCTCAGCAAGCAGCCAACTCTTTTGTCTTTCAGGCGGAATGTGCCGCGGTGCCATCGACAGCTATGAGTGCGCAAATTATGGAAATGAAATTGGCTTTTGGCCTTACAGTCGAGCCGAGTCGAGCTCATGACCATTCGGTGGTGTTCAAGTAATCAAAAATATGGTCAACTTATGATTGTGTAAAGATGGGCATGATATGAAAATATTAAACTGTTAGAGACAGCCAAGCAAGTAAAGGCAAGAGAGCTTTGTGTAAACGTGACCGACTGGAAGATACCATTTATGATTCAAATTCAATAAAAGCTACTTAGCTAATTTGAAACAATTAAATTCTTAAATCTTTGGCTTAAAAGGAAGCGTCCGTAAAGTCTTAATAAATAATATTGTTACTTTATGAAAGATCTTAGCAACTAATCAATTCACCTAGTTGTGAACACAGGGTAGCATGAGGTCTAGCACGCTAAAACATTTTGAATACATAAGCAAGTGTGGCGATGGAGTTGTATGAAAGCAAGTGAAGACATTTAGAATGGGCTATAATATAAATTGCGATAATAACCAGACAAATTGGCTTAAATTATGTTAAGCAATTGGTGTAACAAGCCAAATGCTGTGGTAGGTCGACAAAACTTTTACAAGGGAACGTTGACGTGTCGGATACAGCTGAAAATGTTCAACAAAAACTATTGTCAGCACGGCGTATGCATGAGATGCGGTTGCACAACTTTTGGATGAAAATGCAAGCACATAAACAACTTTGGATAGAAAACGTTTTTAATTTTTACACAACTCTGACCCAAAGGTAATACAAAATTAGTTAAGAAAGAACAAATTTAAATGCTCGCCTAGGTTGTGAACATTGCGAAGCTCGTCGTCGGGCTCATCGGCGAACAGATGGAGAATGACACCGCAGCGTACACATCGCACTAGCACATTGGCCAAGACCAGCATCTTGAAGAATACGGCCATGCCTATCTTGCTGTACATGCAATCGGTATGTATCTCGTCATTTAGTATAATCCGCATTAGATCAAGTCCTATGGAGTACATGCTGGCCAGCCAGCAGAAGCTGAAGAGCAGCAGGTAGGGGCCAAAGTACAGCAACATGCGCTTATTGTAGGGTACCTTGCCGCCGTCCCGTATGTTATCCCGCGTGTTGCAAAAGTTGCAGCGGCTGCACTGGTAGAGCCGAAACAGCACCATAAGCATCACCAGAACTACATAGCATTGGGTCTGGGCATCAAAGGTGAGGATCGATGCGTATGTTATCCAAAATTTAAGATGCTGCACCCAAAAGAACCACTTCGAATGTTCATTCACCACCGGCACCACAGCCGCCGCATGAAGCATTATCCATAGATACGACAATGACAGAAAGCAGCGCAGCAAACACATCGTGAAACGCGTGTATTTCCAGCTCTTGTACAGCTGATGTGGCATCCTTGGGGAATAATAACTGCTTCAACAACCAACCTTATATTTAAAAACAAACCTATTTTTTGTTTAGTTGGTATACTAGACACATATACAGATACAAATATAAAGGCCTACTATAAATAAGTATTGTGTATTATGCATATATCGACAGTTTTGAATGATTAATATCTTGGGTATACGTCACAACTTATAAATGGCATAGAATTCCAGTTGTCCGTTCAGCATACGCAACATTTTCTGGAAGTTAGATGGAATTGTTCAGAGTTTAAGCAACAAATGCGCTGTTATTGATCCGTCTATATAAAGTCAAAAATACATTCAAATATATATATGCATGTACATAAAGGAACACATTGCGTATACGTGATGTGTACACGTGTTCATTTTGGCTTATATTTGTTTTTTTATGTTTATTTCTGTGGGTAAAATGAATTCCTTTTCTATTCTATGCTGCAGGTGCTCGGTAAAAATAAAAACACAGTCTGCGGTATTTTTTTTTTGTTATGTGTGAAATCAAAGCGAACGCATTTATTGAGGTATGAGCAATATGTTTGCTTCAGGGTCTTTTGATGTTAAATGGCTTGCAACGAAAAACAGTTAACATTATTTGATACAGGACACACTAAAATTAAATATTAAACTTACCCTGACAAATCAATATACTCTTTTCATATTGCAGCGAATATAAAGTTATATATGTGAAGCATTATATGCACGAATATTTGGCTCAGTTCGAAAATAAAAATGAAACTATATTATTTGGCCGTGGTCATTGTTATAATCATCGTACACCGTGGGGCCAAGTGTCCCAATGGTAAGGAATGGAATAACATATCAAAAAAATGTATAAAATATTATTTGGGCACATAATCACGTAGTGGCCACATTTCGCCTCGAAATGATAATAAAATGTAATAAACACAAGAAACGCATTTATAACTGAATACAAAAAGGTGCGAGTCGACTATTAAGCGGAATGACAACTAATTTTTGGGTTAATCCACACAACAAAGCAACAAGACACAACTCTCATTTATAACATTTAAAGACAAAAAGCACAAACACATAAAAAGGGCCACAAAAATAGAATGAACAACATGAAAAATTAAACGCCATTTTGTGAAGTCCGGAAAATGCCAACGGGTTTTCCTTTTTTTTTTTTTTTTTGTTATAATATACCAAACGATGTCCTTGATAGTGTATGAAGCAACCTAACGGTAAAAATGTTGCCAACTTGTCACAGCGCAGCGCATTCTACGGCTTTGTCCTTACGATTAATCCTTTGTCAGAGACGATAAAGTGTTCAATACGCCGTCCACGGCCGATTCTTATAAACACAAATGACGCGTTATTAGGACCCTCAGTTGTCTCTCCATCAAAAGTTTCATGAAGTTCGAGCGGACAGCAAATGGAGAAAGAAAAAAAGCAAAAGGTTCACTTCTTTTTTGGCCAAGACTCACTGGAATTTCTCATCGGAATCTTGATTACCGACAGTATAAATTATGTGTCGCCGGCACGACTTAAAGTTTTCTTCATAAACAAAAACCACCACAAAATAGGATTTTCTTGTGGAATGTTCAAGTGTGTTTCGCTGGGGGCTGCTGCACTGATATTCAATCAAAATCTAAAGTTCTGAAGGTCTAGTATCTTTATTAAACTGGTCAAAATCGGGTTGAAATCTATATTAGGAATCGATTTACTTAACTCCAGTGGCATTTATTGTTGCATAAAAAACAAACATTAATAAAAATAAATATATGTAAACAACAAAAATAAACGACCCGTCTGTCAAAATATGCAGCAATAAAATTGTACAACATCACGTATACACAATGAATTGTAAATGGCCGACGCAGACATTGGCGCAACAAATTCGAATTTATTCATTTTAGTTTTATTATTATTATTATTTGAATACTTCCGCCATGCTTCAGCCATGCGCAAATTAAATAATAGACCGCGGCAAGCTGTGGCTAGGAGAGAGTAACGATAATTACTGCCTACTGTCAGGTGGCACTGCCAACTGGCCAGCCCATTGACCTAGTGCATATTTAAAAAAAAAAAAACAGAAAAAATCAGCATTTGCTGATAACCAAAACTTAATTGAATTACATGCATTATAACTTTGCGGTCGTAATGGTTGTTATTCGAAGCAATTCACAAGGAGGCAGGAAGTTGGATCGGAAGATGAATTTGTCGTAGAGGTCCAGCTAGCACTGTTAGGGCGAAAGGCAAAAAGCTTATATGTCTTTTCTTCAATTGTTTCTCGGTTTTAGAAAATAGCCAAAGCAAATTGTGCAATTAACCCGTAGCTATATCGAATTAAGTTAACTAATTTATGTTATAGTTCAACATTTTGCATAAGCCACTCAGTTCTAAAAGCAATCAAAATGAAGCAGCTTCTTCGACTCATCAATTTATTTCTTCTGCTCGTCCTGGTAACGAGCCAAAAGGAAGATGAGCCCAAAAAATGCCCACGTCAGTAGAAAATATTTAATTTTGTTTAATTAATCAAACACTTTTTTTTTTTGGCGTTCTCTAAAAAGCTGGCCAGGAGCTGTTAGGTAATCGTTGCGTTAAATTTCGCATTCTTGTATCTGGTAACAAGGAGTCTTTGACCAAGGTAAATGGAGAAAATAAGCATGTCTGCTTAGAGGGTTTCATTTGGTTAGAAAGTAAAAACGCTTGCGCCCAGAAACCTAGAGTTTGTACAGATGAGCTCTGTAAATCGAATACAAACTCAGCAGTTCCAAAGGAATGTCCGCCCAACCGCCGGTGGAACAAAGAACTCCAAAAGTGTGTACCCAAGAAATTAGTAACGGCCTTTGGGAACACAACTGCAAAAGCGAATGCTAATAAAACAACATCATAGTTGTTGGAGCACCGGATTTTTCCTTATATGTGAAAGCACGAAATAAAATGGATATAAAATAGGGTACAATAAAAAGATTACTGCAATACCAAAGAACATTGGTCAGTAATTCGGTCTACGTGTTAAACCACAGCGTTGGGTTTTTTTATTTTGTTTCTGCAGCTGCTTTCTATATTTATAAGCTCAGGATAATTGGTTCATCTTGTTTTGTGAATTTGTAAATAATTTATTTATACATTTTAGAACTTTACCTGTTCAGACTATTGTTTTGTCAGAAACTGAAAACAAATTTTGAAAAAACATTTTAAAATATTAACAAAACAACTTGATGAATCATAATCATAATCAGTGCAGCAACTGCTACAAGAAATGTCCAAAGAAGAAATGTCAGGATTAAAACTGGACTGAAACAAAATACTAAAAAGACCCAAAAATAGTCTCCCGAATATTTAAGAATGACAGTAAAGTTGTATGTTTGTTAATTTGATTTGTTGGTTAATATATCTTGTCCTCTGTCAAACACATATTTATTATACCCTTCTTAACCAAACCAATGGGTCGAGCATATATAAAAGCTAAATCAAAAAGTTCAAAATACTCATGCTTATATAAAATGCAGCCGCGGGCGCAGCTGACGGGCGGGCAACATAATGAACGAACGTGGGGCAAATTGTTTGCGAGGCGAAGTGTCATGGCAGTTGGCCAACAAATTACGTATACGCCACGCAAGCCGCTGGCAAGCGAGTGTCAACTGAACTGCGACAAGCGGGTCGCTCAAAAAGACAGCCAAAGGACAGCTGTCGTCCATGGTGCGGCCAAAACAAATGAAGTTGAATTGCGCAATTGCAGCAAGCGCCCGAATTGCATTTGTCGCTAGCCTACAATAATCACTCGAGGGCGTTCCACAAAATACTTTCTACCGAAACACGCCCACATTTCGGGGAATGGTTGTCAATAATGAATGAATGCCCTTTGTTGGTTTCGGTCTCAGTTACCAGTGAGAGCTTCCAGGAACCCGTAATCAATAAGGACAACTTGCAGTTGCCATTTTAATGCGCTCAAGTGCGCCGTTTACAGTTAAACGGATCGCAAGCCCTCCCCCCCCTCCCACCACTCTTCAAGAATGGTGTCCTTGTAAGCGTACGAGTGTGTGTGCTTGTGTCTGTGTATGCGTCTGTGTCGGCGCACTCGTTGGCATATTTTGCGGTTAAAATCCACACAAAAGGTGTGAAAAGCAGCAGCCGGCATGCGGCTCTTTTGATTGGATGCTGTTGCTTATTTGGCACGGATTTCATTTGCCTTCCGTTCGCCCCACCCAGCATCAGCTGAAAAGTGGTTTTTAGAAATTGAAAGTTGATGTGTGTTGCAACTGCAAATGTGCGATAAATGTTGAGTGTAGCTGCCATTGAGGGATACGAAACAGGTAAATGACAGCGAATGTGAATATTCCACATACACACGTCCATTTAAAGGTCTAAATAGCTGCTAAAGTGGAATGTTAAAAAATAATTTCATAATGGTAAATCTTTATATGTATAGGATATGTATTATGCTAGAAATTCCTGGAAACTACAGAAACTAATCGAGCCTCTTCGACTGAAGTCTCGTAGACCGTCTGTAAGAAACCTGTCAAAGCATGTGTCACATTTTTGTTAACTGGGTCGTGCCAATTGCCCCAACATTTTCTGGCATATGCTAATATTTATGTTATATACAATAGGGAAATTAATGTTATTTTATATGAAGTCTAATGTTAATATCTTACTCCTATCTCTTATCTGTACAACCACAGCACAATTTGCTAGCACTTGCTATGGCTGTGCAGCTTCCAAGAAAATAGAATTAAATATGCCTGAGCACAAATATTTGTCGGAGCTGATCGCATATTAGGGGACGCATTGCTCACTTAGACACCGCTCTTTTGTGTATTCTATGAGCACCCCTACAACGTTTTGTTTTTAGGGCCTCATAAATTGCGCATACGCCATGCTGCACACAGGCAAGCCAGACACTGGCATATAGCTTATATTATTTTTGTTGCTACTTTTTCTTTTTTTCGCGTGGAGACGGAAGCGCATAAATTTACCGTTGAAATATTTGTGAGCCGTGAAAAAGTCAGTGAAAAAATACAAAAAGTTTACTGAATGCCAAACGTGCACCGCCGTAGCACTTTGGCCTGTCCTCTGGTGGATAAAGAGGAGTGCTGGGAGCTCAAATTGACATGCAATTGCAATGGCATGCAAATTGCCGCTGCCTCGTGCCACTCTCCGTTGTGCTTCTTTTGACTGTGGCAAGTTCAATTTGGTAGTCACACCAACGTCATGTGGCACTTGTCCAATTTTGATATGTCCCCGCGGACTTGTGCATTTTATTCACTTTTTGGTTTACTATATCCTGATGAAGGATATTTTGATTTTGTCACCAAATATATACTCACTGCAAGGAGTCCAAGGTCCGGAGGAGTTCGGGTGGAGGTTCCATATATTGGTTTTATAGGTAAGAAAAATCGCTTGACAAACGAGTTCTGTGCAAAACACGGATCTTACTTTCAGCATATCTTGACCAAAGTAAGCAATTAGGAAGTTCGTTATTCTTGTAGATATCTGCAAATCCGTATCCGTTCGGACTACTATATCACAATATAATATAATACTATATCACAGTATAAATTCACGACCTAGCAAGGGAATGTGATCTTCGGCTTGCGAATGATATTTGTTATTTCTTATGTCTTTTTGGCTTTTGCTTGTGCCGCCAGCCTCGTCCCTGGTGCCGCTTTGTTCGCTTACAAGTTAAATATTTGAAAAATTGTCATTTATTGCCAACGCGCTGAGCAGTTTTTAAAGCACTTTAACGTGGACGTCTGAGTGGCTTGTCTTGCCACAGTTTACATCTACGAAATGTTCACAGATGCCAGTTTTTTGTAGGTCAAGCACAGGCATTGCTGTCAGCCTCATTATGCTGCTTCACATTTTACCTTTCATACCCCCAGCAACATCATCATCATCATCGTCAGCTTCAACATTTGGTTGTGCCATTGTCATAAAGGATCTAGTGGCAACAGTGGCCGTGAAGTTGGCCTCCCCACCTGGTTGTCTATCTCTGCCCATCTTTCATTCCCAAACGAACGGCTTGTGTGGAGAGCGCTACCTGCTCCCCGGCCCAGACAATTTTCAGATGCTGCTGTTGCTTCTGGCAGTGTTGCAACCCACTTAGCAGTGTCAAGTTGTGTCTTTTGTGCCATCAATAAAATTACGAACGATGCAGCTGCCATCAGCTCTTCGGCACATGCCACGTGCTGGACCAACTTTTGCATAAATATAGCACTTGACTGCAAGTTGAGAAATGTTTCAGACGGATTTGTTAATATTCTTATTTTTAAAACACAGCGTTGCTTTCAATTCAAATGTCAAATACAAAAGACCTTGGGCTGTGCACTGTAGTCTTGGTTCGCTGGGCACTGGGAAGCAGATACAAAATCGTTAAATGTTGGCCGCGTGCATGAAAAGACAGATGATGTTAATTGAATCTAAATAAAAACAATTTTTTGTTTGCATTTTCAGAAGTTTTATTTAGTTTTATTACTCAATTAAAATTTAGTTGGGACATTTGTTGATGTTTTTTTTTTTTTTTTTTTTGCAGTTTTTTGAATGTATGTATATGCTTTCTGTGTTTTCTCAAATATTTTCATTAATATGTTTCTCTTATGCCTATTTACTTTTGGTTTAATGTAGTTGGTATGCAGTTTAGTAGAATTTTACTTTGATCTCTAATATAATTATAATGCTCTTTATTTATTTAGTCGTAATTAATTTGAATTTAAACATTTATTTGTAGTTGCTTGTGTAACAATTTTTCTTTGCTGCAAATTTGCCAGCATTTAAATTAGGTTTTAGTTTTGTTTAAATTGTATTTTTATATTTTATTTACGTTTTTTGTTTTTTTTTTTTTTTCAATTTTCTATAATACTCGTACGTATGTATATAAATATTTTTTTGATAATATATTTTCAAGTTGACAAACTTGTAGTACACTTGGTAGAAAAACAAAAAATTGTGCCACCAGATTAGTTTAGAGTTCTTGTTTATCAGTTTAAGTAGCTCGCTGAAAAATTTGTTGACGTTTAGTAGCTGTTGTCGCTTGAGTACCCCTAATGCGCCTTGCGGGCTTATTTAATTTATAAACATTGAGTCAGTTACAAATTATGCTCTTTATTTTTATTTTTTTTTTATGTTTCCGTGTGTAGGTACAACAATACACTGCATTTGGTTTTGGCTTTGGCCAGACAAACCGACTAAGTTTAAAAAAATGTTTCAGCATTTTCCTTGGGTTTGTCTTCATTTTTTTGCCCTACAATAAATTTGGAACATCGTGCCTTTTTAACATGCTTTGCAAATTGATTTTAAACACTGATTCGCCTTTAGGTTTTGGTTTTAGTTATTAAGTTATGATTTACTTTTTTCAATTTTAAATAAAAGACAATTTCTGCAACTATAAGCTAATTGAATCTTAATTTATGCAAATAAGGGCAAAGAAGCGAAATTGTTTATTTTTTGTTAATATTATTATTTGATATTGAATAAAAATTATGAAACAGAGTAAGTAGGATGCATTTAAGACTACCGATTTTAGCTAATAATTGGCTCGGGTCGGCTTTACTTCTGAGTGGATTTATATATATATATAACTTGCAAATCATTCCATACAGCAAATCCAACGGTAGCGCCAAAGTTGACAGCGTTTTAAGCAATTTATTTACTCTTTAACGAATCCCAAGATGATTTTAAAAGTACACGAACGTAGGACAACTTAAGGGTCCGGCATAATAGTGTCCTTTTTGACAATTTAAATATTGCTTATAAAATAATGAATTAATAATATGGTTACATAAATATCATTTTCAATTAATTAACATATTTACTAAAAAGTTTACAAGAGTGCAGGCTTTTTCGTAAGCTCTACACAGTTACATTTTACCAATTTTTTTGTTTGTTTATTTAATACATTTTTTTATTTTAGTTGACTGCTCTGCTGACAGCCGATACCAACAAATTCAAACGCGGACTGCTCAGCTTATTCGGGATTGGTTTCCTTGCGTATCTTATGGCCACGGAAGGAGGCTTGGATTTT